TTTAAATGTTTTGAACCTTCTAATGCATTATGTAGGTTTCATCTTCTGTTGTGTTCATGAAGTTGTGATTGAATTAATTGTGCATGATTAAAATGTGTTTTCCCCTGACCTACATGATCTTTGATTGTATTCTTTCCAAGCTCCCATGATCCTTGATTGATATTCAATTGTCAATTCAATATGGTGATAGAAAGGAGCAACATTCCTCTGATTCTTTTGACCTAATTTGTGCATATGCTTGTTTCCTCTTGCCTATCATGTCTAATGTTTGATAATTGTCACCATGTTGTTCTCACTTTTTCACCCTATGGAATACTAACTTGGTTATTGAATATGCGAGGTACTCTGAGAAAGTTGCCACTTTTGGCTTGAGGCTTTGGTGTTTCACTTTATTTGTGGAACACAATTTATTATATTGGCATTATTCTTGTGTTTGGCATGTTTGATGGTTTATGCAGGATATACATACATGTGATTGTGAATGCCATAAGTTGCCCATGGGATTTGTTCATATCTGATAAATTACTTACATCCTGATGGTGTAATTTCTGACTCGATTTGTCTACTGATGCCAGCTTGCTTAAAGTCCTATGGGTTTCTTTTTATTCTTGCTCAGTTGCTACGGATAGTTATCCGTTTGGTATTGCACTATTTCCTTCCTTCCATTTTCACTTTGCATAATTCTTTGATTGCATGATGGGACCTCTGTTGCTGATATATGTCAGAAGGCCCTCTGGTTTTTGTCTGATACATGTGTTGTGTTTGCTTTTGATCGATGAGTCACTCAATTTAGAAATTGAGATCGCGACTTCGCTCTCAGTGCATGGTCCCTATAGGATGTTTATTGCTTTTCTTATTTAATTGTTGATCGATGAGTCACTCAATTTAGAAATTGAGATCACGACTTCGCTCTCAGTGCATGTTCCCTATAGGATGTTTATTGCTTTTCTTCTTTAATTGTTGATCGATGAGTCACTCAATTTAGAAATTGAGATCACGACTTCGCTCTCATTGCATGTTCCCCATAGGATCGTGTTGTTAAGCTTCCTCTAACATGTTAACATAGGATAGGATTTTCCTTTATCCTCAACCTTAGGGTCAACCATTATTTGATAACACTAGAGATAGTGCTAGGCTAGTTCCCCTTAGTTGTTTTCCTTCCTTTGCATTTTGCATCTTAAAACAAAAATTTGTTTCTTGGCAAATCATAAGACATTTCTAATGAACTCAAACCCTTCTTCAAAGTAAAAGATACAAACCAATCTTGCTTTAACTTGTTATCTCTTAGCCGATGTTTCGCCATCGCACACTTGTTTGAAGCTAATATTTTGCCATTGCACATGTTTGATTATCCTACTTTGATTCCTAATATCATTGTTAGGTGTGATGTCTCGTCATCCGATGTATTGATGTCTTGCCATCTTTTCCATGATACCTTGTTATCTCTTAGTCGATGTTTCTCCATCGCACACTTGTTTGAAGCCGATGTTTTGCCATCGCACATGTTTGTTATCCTACTTTGATTCTCAATATCATTGTTAGGTGTGATGTCTTGTCATCCAATTTATTGATGTTACGTCATCTTTACCATGATATCTTTGTTACCTTTTAACCGATGTTTCGCCATCGCACATTTGTTTGAAGCTGATGTTTCGCCATCGCACATGTTTGTTATCCTACTTTGATTCTCAATATCATTGTTAGGTGTGATGTTTTACCATCCGTTTTATTGATGTTTCATCATCTTTGACATGTTACCATGTTACTATTTAGTCGATGTTTTATCATCTCATTTGTTTGTTGTTTTATGTGATGTTTTTCCATCTCGACTGTTTTTGTTGTCTTAACTAAAAAACACAAACCAACCAAAACATATAAGCCGAACTACGACTGCTATGATTCCTTAAAAGGGATACGTAGGCATTGGGGTAGGGTCCAACTGAGCACAACTTTTATTTTCCCTACATTGTTTTCTTTCTCTTTCGCATGCATTCCCTTTTCAGTTGTAAGCCATAAAGATAGGATTTGACCACACCCATTTAGATTAGACAACAAGAGTGGATACCATAGAGTACTACGGGCGTGTGGGGTGCTAATACCTTCCCCTTGCGTAACAGACTCCCTTATCCGATCTCTCGGTCGAAAGACCGTGATTTCTCCCTTTTCAGGTTTTCTCGATGTTTACCTTTCCCTTTCGACGGGATAAAAGACATTCGGTGGCGACTTCATTGATGTTTCATTAACATCCAGATGACAGGTTCAGGCCGCGTGTTTCACACTCTAAGAATTCTGCTCCAAGCTTCTATTTTGCAGCGACCTTTACTAAGTGCTACATGTTCGTTGAGCCTTGAGCTTTATGAAGATGACATAAACTTTAACATTATCTGTGGCAACTTCCACACACACACACACACACACACACACACACACACACACACACACACACACACACACACACACACACACACACACACACACACACACACACACACACACACACACACACACACACACACACACACACACACACACACACACACACACACACACACACACACACACACACACACACACACACACACACACACATATATATATATATATATATATATATATATATATATATATATATATATATATATATATATATATATATATATATATATATATATATATATATATATATATATATATATATATATATAAGTAATCTTAGAGGAAAGAACTTCCTTCTTTTTCCATTGGATTATCGATCCCTACCAGAACACCACACAAAGATGTCAACCCTGAAATCTTCAAAAATATTTACAAATTGTTAATCACAAAATGAACCTCCTCACACATTTCTCACACTCTAAGATGAAAACTTAATCCAAACAACAATGGAAAACACAAGATGTTGAAGATGAAGAGAGATTTTGGTTGTAAACTGAAAACAAAACTCAAGGGTATATTCAATACAAATCCTCCATCAAACAAGAAGCAACTTCAATCTTTGTTCGGGAAAATAAATTTCTTAAGGAGGTTCATTTCGAATCCAAGTGGCGAGATAAAAATATTTTCGCCTTTGCTACGTTTGAAGAAATAAGAAGGATTTAGATGGGAACCAAAGCATAAAAAAGCCTTTGAGGAGATTAAGATGTATTTGTCGAATCCCCCTATATTGTTACCTCTTATGAGAAATAAATCTATGGAGTTGTATATTTCTACATCTGAGTCAATAATAGACAGTATGTTAGCACAAGATGATGATGATGGCGTCAAAAGGGCTATTTATTACCTTAGTCGAGTTTTAAAGGATGCAAAAACTATGTATAGCTCAATAGAAAAGGTATGTCTATGTTTGTATTTCTCGTGTACAAAATTGAAACATTATATAAAGCCAACATATGTTTTCGTCTATTTTCATTTTTAACATTATTAAACATATGTTGTCAAAACCTATTTTACATAGTCGAGTTGGAAAATGAGCTATGGCTTTAACTGAATATTCTCTAACTTATGCGTCTTTCGAGGCTAAGACAGGAAAATTGATACTAATTTTATTGTTGATCATGAAATAGTCGAAGCAACACAAAGTTATATTGAGCTAAAACCATGGAAGTTATACTTCGACGGTTCCAGACATAAAACTGAAACTGATATTGAAAGTATGATTATTTCCCCCAAAGGAATTCCAACGAAGTTTAAATTTAAAATCCAAGGTTGTCGCTCCAATAACGAGGCTGAATATGAAGCCTTAATTGCATGCCTTAAGATCATGTTAGATTTGAAATTTTTGTTTTACTTTTCTGAACATACTATTCTTAGGATTTTTTCAAGTTTAATCCCTTAAATATGTTGAAACATACACAAAATAAATTGGTGAATTAACGGAGAAAATTAGTTAATTGGAGAAGATGAAATGGGAAAATAAGAGAGACAATAATTTGGAGATGAGGAAAATATGTAACAAATGACATTAAGTTTTTAATGTTACAACTTAAGGGTATATATATATATATATATATATATATATATATATATATATATATATATATATATATATATATATATATATATATATATATATATATATATATATATATATATATATATATATATATATATATATATATATATATATATATGCAAGCCCACACAAGTGTTGGAATACAAAACAACTCAAAAATAAGCTAAAAAAGCCCAAACACGGGTCCGTAATCGATTTCATCAAATAGATAAATCGATTACGACTGCTAAAAGAAAACAGAAAAACTAAAATAAGTTGTGGAAATCGATTTCAGCATATGATAAAATCGATTTCCTCTTCAATACTTTGAATTTCCAGACTTCAAAAGTATTTATTTTTTAAATTGTTTCCAACGTAATGCTCCCAAAAACTCATACAATGCATTTAAATTACTTTGTACATCCAATAAAATAAATTTAAACTTATAATTTAATTTATTAAAAAAATATTATTAAACACGTTATAATATTAACCTTGTATATTCACGTTATTGATTCAAAAAAATTCACCATCAACGCACATAATTCGTGTTCCCAAACGGAACATAACTTTTAAAAATTGATCTAATCGTTCAAAGTTTAAAATCAAAATTTATTTCTCTAAATTTGAGGCTTAAATTTTGCTTAGGCTAATCATTTCTATGTTAGACAATTCCACATATAACTTCGGTGCTAACCTCAAAAATAATCATTTCCATATTTTAAAGAATGTAACATAAGTATCATAAGTATCTCGATTCATTCATGTAACGTACAGAGTAAGAAAAAATATAAAATACTACAAAACTTCATGCCGTCATCTATATCATATGATATATAAATATGAATTAATGTTTTTACGTCACACGTTGGCTGCTTTTTTTTCTTTCTGTCTTCCTTCCTACAGTCAATCTCATAGACTATAAATAACTGAAAACAAATCAAATTTCATAAACAAAAAAACAAAACCATTAGACGAAGAAAAAAAAAACCAAGTCCAAAAACAAAAAATGCATAGAGAAGAAGAAAACGAAGTGAGTGCAATGGACTCTTTGTTGTGTCCAAGTTTCAGTGTTTACTCTTCTAATAACGTAAACGACGTCGCTCAACAAGTTATCATCGAAAACGACTTCTCCCACTTCCAAAACGACAGCGACAATTTCGAATTTGTAGTTTTTCAAAAAACCGCCGATGAAGCTTTCTTCGATCACCGCCAGCGCAATACAACTCAACGCGTTTTCTCCATCTCTAAACGTGACGGCGCGATGGAGAGTTTAATTCCGTTACGGGAATTGATGAAGCGCGATGGTGACAGATGGAATTGCAACACGGTGGAGATTTCGACTCCGTTAGAGAAATTTACGATCGGAGATGAGAAACGGACTATTGATCCACCGTCATTGTCGGAAGTGGAAGACGATATTGACGCTGTTTCGCCGGCGTCGTATTGTTTTTGGACGCCGAAATCTCCGATGCCATCGCCGATGGCTTCTCCGATGAAATGCAAGAAAAGCAATTCGACCGGTTCGTCTTCGAATTCTTCATCTTCCAAGAGATGGAAGTTTCTGAGTTTACTCCGGCGAAGTAAGAGCGACATAAAAGAGTCGTTGAAAAGTGGTGAGGTATTAGCTGAGAAAAAGATTCCGGTAACGGAGAGGAAAATTCCGGCGCAGGCAACGGCAATGGAAGCGTTTTATCTGAGAACGAAAGAGATAAAGAGAAAATCATATTTACCGTATAAGCCAGAGTTAATTGGTTTTGGTGTTGGTTTTCATGCTACTTTTGGAAGAGTTCATGTTTGATTCATTTTACTTCAAATCTAAACTATTTTTAGTCAAATAAAGATTATGACAGTTAGGTTAATTTCTTACGGAACTCAGTTTTGGAATAGGAAAAAAGAAGAGTGAAGTAATAATATTAGATTTTAGATTTTATAGTGATATACTATAATATTTTTGTAACTATTTGAAGTATGATCAATGGAAAATGTGTGTGATGACATCTGTGGATTGTGATGTATTTGTCATTTTGTGTAAGATTGAGAAAGGAATGGATGACCACTTTTTAGTCAAGGGTATGTTCTTTTTCTTAAGCCAAAATTAGTGATTTTTAATTGAAGTTAAAAAATTTAATACAGACGACTCTTCCAAATATTTTATCACAATGAATAAATAAAATGTTTGAAACTGTGGTTTTTTTAATGTTTTTTTTCACGGTCATCAACTGAATTGACTTAATAAGACTTTTATTTTTTAATTCTTTTAGATTAAAAATTTAAAATCTACATTGAATTAATGTTTTAAAATTCATTTAAGTGATTAACCCAATCAAAATATTATATTAGTGAGATAAAAGTAGTTAAATCACTAATACTAATTCTGAAAGAAATTATTTAATGACATAAAATTCATAACATAAATATCATAATTATAAACTATAAAATATTTTTATAAATGTTGTATTTACATTGAGTATAATGGAGGTAACTCTACCTACAACTAATACGTGAGTAAGTCATAATCTAATCTAACTATTGTGTTAAATATTTATAGATTCGGTATTTTTTAAGGATTTTGTCTAAATTTTAGTTATATGCAGTCTAATCTTGATCCACTAGTGAGAGTAGTGGATGAATCATCCTTTTTAATATACGAGACTTGAATATGCAATCGGTAGGATTTGAGATTTTTTCGGTTAAGACTATAAATGTTATGTTTGTTGTTTGGAATGTGCTTTACATGTCACTCCTATAAAGTAAGGGAACATGGGGAACTCACCCTCATTTGTGCCACGTGACTCGCTCTCTATCCTACTTGCTTGTTAGGTGTTTATGGGCCAAAAACGTTGATGTTCATTGGGCTTAGATCATGATATAATGGTCCACAATCACTCAAGGACGATGCCTGCAAGGGCGAAGTGGTTAAACGAGAGACGGTAAAATCTATAATCCCTTAAGCATGAGACCTGTAATGGCATCGTGGTTACACGAGAGACATGACAACCCGAATTTAATGAGATTTTCAATACATGTGCTAGAATCAAACTCAAAAGTTCAAGATCTCAACAGTCACATTCATATTGTGTAAGAAGAAACTTTTTTCTAATACGTGGTAACACAATCATTACTTTTTAGTTATAATTTTATATCAATTAACAATGTTATTACTTTTCTGCCATTGCAATCTGTCTCGCATAATAGTGTTGATGTTGTTGTTGAATTTTTGGAACAACATTTAGTTCAAGAAGGTTGGAAAATTTCTAGATTGCAAGTGAAGAAAATCATTCTTTCTTCAAGTTAAACAAAGAAGGGCGTTCAACCATTAAAAAGATTAGAAGTCCATCCTTGATTTAAGATACATAGCAAAATCTGGAATAACAAAGGGGATTCTCTATGAATCTGAATTTGTTGTAATCAATGTATTTTAATATTTTGTATAAATAATTTAATGTTAAAAAAAATATTAACTGAGTGGTAAACATATTTTACCTCATTTTTTGTCAAAACCGAGAGGATAATTTTGGTGTGATTATTAAGGATATTGATCATCGTTCTTAAATAAATCTCTGTCGTCCATTTCATGACTATCAACGCTCAAGACACTACAATTAGTGATTTGCGTGAAACATAAAAACCTCAATTATAAAAGAATTATGAATATAAAAAGTGAAACATCATAAAGCGCTTGAAACTATCTACATCCACCACTTTATTTGAGTTTGCAATTGCATTTTCCATGAAAAGCTCTATGATAGATTGCAAAAGAAGAAAATTATTTGGGTTTAAGGTTTGTGTTCTTAAATATTTATTTGAGTAGAAAATCATTTATTTATCTAACCTTTTTTTTGTTTTATTTCAAAAACAAATGCAAACAAAAGTTATAGAAAATATCTTGCACCCAACATTTTTTTCTTCCCCAATATTCAATGATTCAAAGATCGAAAAACAGATCTTCAGGGAAATAAATTTTTACATTAATATTCTGTGTAAATAATGTAATATTTTGGATAAACAATATAGTTTGTAAATAAATTAATTTATTAATATTTTTGGTAAACAATGTAATGAGTTTTAAAAAAACAATATAACTTACCCCTCAGTTTTATTGATAAACTGAGAGGTAAGATGCACTTATTTTGAAAATAATAAAAGTGCAGAAGCTGGGTTTCGAACCCATGTGCAGATGACTTTACCCCTTGTTTTTTTAAAAACTAATGGGTAAAGTGGCAGCATTTCATGACGCTATTCGTTACTCCGCTTCTGTAGCAAGGTTAAATGCATTTCACGTCCGAGGTGTAATGTTTTTTTTTGTAGTAGTGGTTTGTGCAATACCTTAGTACCTCAAGACTTACTCTTGTTCTTTCTAGAATTTCACTAATTAGAACTAGTAAAAACCCTAAGTGATGGACCAGGTGAGCTTTCACACTTTCAATCTTCAAGTCTTTCATGCTTAAAGATTATAGCTTCAAGACTTCAAGTTACTTTACCTGATTCAAATTTTTTTAACACTTTCAACTAGAACTTGATATCTTTGATTAATAAGGCTTGGTATTTCTTCCTTAATTTGATACCATAATCATAAACCATTCGAAAAGTAGTCATGATAAAAACCATTTGATAGATGTCATCGGAACTTGGTAATTGTCTTGAACACTTGATAGTTGTCATGACATGATATACACTTATCATCATTAAAACCACAATGTTACCTACAAAACACATAACCATATTATCCATCTTTTTTATGATTACATTTCTTCTTTAGGGATGTGGTAAATCATAAGAGATAAATAAAAGATTTGAAGTGGTTAATTCCCTCTTATAGATAAAAAAAAAGTATATTTTACTCCCTCTAAAAGTATACTTATCCCTATTTGATATTATAAAAAAGATGGATAAACAAAAGCCAATAATAACTAATATAAAATAAATGAGTTATCTGGTAAAGGCGGAGACATAAGAACATAAAGGCACATTTAACCAATGCATAGTGTACATACTGACAATCCTTGAGCCAACCTGCAAGTCGGATATTAGAGTCGGGCTATTGATGAAATAATTGATGTGTCCCACAAAGATTGAGATGTAAGGTCAGACCACGCTAAAGAGGTCCCTACCCGAAAGACTAGGCGTATAAGTATGAGGAGTTGAGGATATACTAGGCTGGATGGTTGGGATATTAGCTCGATTCGACAATTACAATAGTCTAAATGGTTACATGAACATTACGTGAGGCGTTATGCCTCATGATTACGGTGATGGAGGTTGAGACTATGTCATTTATTAGGGGACATGAGAAGCAACCTCTTAATGAGAGTGGGTCACAGGGACAACAATATAAAAGGGGATCCTCCCTCGAAGGAAATATATGCATATATCACATATCAGCAATATACAACGCTCAAATACACTAAACAGTTGCAGCCTCACTAAATTAACTTCTGGGAGGTTATCTAAACGTGTTTTATAGGAATATTTGGCGCCACCCATGGGGTCTAGGTAAAAATTTCCCAGGCCACACATCAATATCACTTTCTCGAGAATGTTAGGACCATCGCTCGATAGTGAGAAGCCTCAGCCAGATATGGCGCACATGTTGGTGTTGAAGGAGCTCTTCGACATCATAACAAAATTCTTCAAGATAACATCAAGACACTTCAGGCTCAATGTCAACCGGATGGGGGATACAGAGGAAGAATTATTGGATCCTCAACCATTATCTTGAGTTATATGGGAAGACCCAATTCCTTAGAACTTCAAGCCACCATCACTGGCATTTTTCAACGGCAAAAAGGATCCTCAAGAGCACACCACCTCCATCAATAACTAGATGACGATAGTCGGTGCATCTGACTCCCTGAAACATATACTTATGACATGAACATTCAAGGATGTTGCCTTGTGCTGGTACATGAGTTTGACGAGATTCTATGTCGTTGGGTACCATGACCTAACCCGGAAGATGGTCCAGCACTTCACAGATAGCTAACATAAGAAAGTCTCCACCACTAGCTTGTTCAATGTAGGACAAGGTCCCTCAGAGTCTCCCCATCAATACATGGTGTGCTTCAATGTAGAAACCATCAAAATCTCCCATCCAAATTAAGAGATGTTTGTAGGGGCTTTTCAAAACAGTTTAAGGGTTGGTCATTTCAACAAGTCCCTTGCTCAAAACCCATCCTTGAACATGGATGAGGTGATGAATCGAGAGGAATTTTACATCAAGGGTGAGGAAAGATGAAATTATGGTATGCAGATATCAGATGCCCTAAGAGATGTCGAGACACTGATATCTGATCAAAATGTAATGCCAATATAAACACAGATAAGATTAATTGAAAGTGAAGTAACACACATAATTATTAACCCAGTTCGGTGTACAACAACACCTACTCAGAGGGCTACCAAACCAGGAATGAAATTAACTAAATAATATCAGTTTGTAGATCCTCAACAAACTATCTCCAGTTTACAATCTACTCACCTAATCACTACCCGTGCAACTTCTACCTAAGACTCACCTAGGTATGAGATTTTCTCAATCCCTTTCAATTACAACGGTGATGAAACAACAATGACAATAAAAGAAGACACACTTCCAATAAAAAGAATCATCTACTGCTTAAAAGCTTATGAGTGATTCACAATTACAATTATACTAACAGTCCAACTCAAGCATCAAACAATACAAGAGTGGCTCACAACTAACAATGAACATATAAAGCCCTAATAATTGACAATTTTACATATGCGGCCTGTATCTTCTTTAGGTTTAGAGACTTACTTTTATAAGCAACATCTGGC